AAATTCAGAACTCTATACAAAACCAGGCGCACAGTGCTTCCCTTCCGTATGAAATGTGGTCAATAATAGAATTATGGACGGATTTAATTGAAAATTCGCTTCTTAGTAAAATTGAGGACGCTAAATTCAAAAATGCAATTTGTTTTTGGATAACCTTCCATTCTTTCACTGTAAATGCAGTTTGAAGTTGAACATTTGGGTTCTTGTGGCATTTGCATAGGTATGTACATATAGTTCGCTCTGGTTTCAAAAGTGAGGTGTCAAATGACAGGGTTTGGCCTGTAGATGTGCAATAAAGTTTTATTTTTTTGAAACGGGTCGCCACCTGTTACTAATTTCATTAAAATTATTTAGTAAGTTGAATGAACTAGATATTACAATATGGGTACCAATTAAAATGGTTATGAAAATGCTTTACTTCTAAACGACATGTAGAAGGGTTGCCACATGTTTAAAAAATTAAATGCACTTTAATTAAGGGAATAAGGTAACTGAGTATCAGACAAAAGAAAACAATTGACATATTCAGCAAGAAATAAATGAAGAGTAAAAACATTCCTTAGTTAATTTAAGAGTCCTGTAAATGTAATCAGAATGTCCAGGAATGTAATCAGAACAAATCACTGATCGACAATATATGTATTTTTAATAAAATAACAAATACGACGTCGTAAACCTTTGGTTTGACGTAATTATTATTTTAGTTTAACTAAAATTTGACTTTACAAACAGGTGGCATCCATTTTCGTAGTATTTGCAAGCTAAGACCTTCTTAAACCTCTTTCGTCTGACTCTCATCTGGTGATACCTATCTATTTGAATACCCTTATTCCTTTAATTCCAATGGAATTAGATATTCTTAGCAGGTGGCAACCCTCTATATGTAGTTAAGAAATAAACTCTTTTCATACACATTTATATTGATACCCATCTCTTAATAATTCATTTAACTTATTAAAAAATTTGAATTTAGTTTTTTAACGACTATTTAATAATATAATAAAAAAAACATATTTTAACATATACTTTTTTTAATTCCATTAAAATTCACAATTTTATTTTAAATTTTGAGTAAAAAAAATGTTTTTCTGTAATAACGCAGGGACAACCTGTGCTTGATTTTGTCCCAAAATTTTAATTCCTGTAGCTCTCTACTATCTATATGGAAACAAGACACGTTAAACCAACATTTTATTTCAAAGAATATATTTTTGACACATTTTGCTGTGAAGAACTTACGCATGGCTATGCTCTTATTAAAATTCTGAGAATAAAATTTGTCGACTTTTGTGGCTTCCTGCGGCATATAGTTAATTTTTTAGGTGAATATCTGTTTAATTATTTTTAGTGGATAAATTACCTTTACGAAATACCAAACACGTTCATATTGTAGACAACGAATTTTTTGATTGTTGCCCACTTAGGCGGCACTGTGCGGCGCCGTAAAAGTATTTTTGTGTTGTTACTACTTCCCAAAACTCTTATGGTCTCATGTATAAAAAATAAACTAAATTTAAAGAGCCTAATAAAGTGAGATTTTCAAACAAATTTTCGATTTTTGAAGCACTCTGAATTTTGTATAAATGTGGGTGTTAGTTAATATGTTTTCACAGGTATTTAGAAAGTAGGTACCTGTACATAGTATCAGCTTTATCCTGGAAATTTACTTCATGATCTTATTATATGAATCGAGTCTAAATATCGCGCACTTTCTTCAAAGGTGTAGTAATTCAATATTTACCTCGTCTTATAAATTTAACTGAATACATTTTTCAAATAGGTGGCAATCCGCTTCAAATATAGGTATGTTCGACAGTAAATTTTCATAGATCTCTTTAATACTCGCATTGTAACTTTTCATTTATTTTAGCAATTTAAATGAATAAAATTTTTCCAACAGGTGGCAACCACCTCAAAAATATTTTCTGCAGCAAACTTTCTTAAACCTTTTTAGTTTGATACACATAATGCAATATTTAAATTATTTTATTAATTACGTTAAATTAAAATTTTCAAACAGGTGGCAACCTTCCACAACAATTGTTTCGGCTCTATGCCCTCTTAAACCTCCTTTGGGTTATGGCTGTCGACATATTGCAATATTTAATTTATCTTGTCAATTTACCCAAACTGCCATTTTTAAACAGGTGGCAACTCTTTAATTTTTTTCCTTCTATATTTTAAGTTAGGACCTCAGGCAATACATTAATGAAAACTGCATTCGATTCCACTCATTAGTTTTGGAGTGATGCTTATACAAACACACAGACAGACATACTGAGAAAACTTCTAAAAATTGTTAATTTAGCTTCTCTTGCTCTCATGAAGACCCACATATTTTTTTTTTTTTTTAATTACTATAATGTACAGACATCGGCCTGTCACAATTTTGTTATATCTAGAAATTATGGCATTTATGGCATTTTTAAGAGTTAATTTAAAAAGGTGCTCATCTTTTCTAACGCGGCTAAAGATGTTCCTGAGCTTCATCTACAAAGCCGTATTAGTTTAGCTTCGGTTATGGGCACGTGAGTGGAGTGTTTCATACTTCCATTCGCAGACCTCCACTGGGTGAGTGCTCGCTGTGAATGGTCGCCAGAAGAAGTCAAATTACGATAAATAGTCTTGCTTTTCCAAAGAAAATTATGCAGGTCTAGGAGTTCTAGCTCCGATATCGCTGCCAGAGTGGAGGAGAAGGGTTACCCCAGATGTTGTGGGCCGCCTCGACTGCGGGCCCTAAGTAGTAAATTAATTCCTCATAATTCTTACCGTGATAGCTTCTGCCAAGAGAACTCGCTGATATTCGCCAGCGGTGGAGCATAGGCGCAATAACTCCGGTAAGGGCTAAGTTTAAAATCACAATGAAAAAGTGGACCTAAGTCTGAGGCAGTTGTTCTAAGAGACCCACCAGCTCTGCATTTCTCTTCTCATAAGTTTTTCTAAATATTTAGCTACTGCTCATAGATCAAAATCCGCACTGGGCGCCTTGAAGTTAATAACTAAAAGATTGGTACCGCGGATTTCTACTCTTCTTTGTTTGACAAAGCATACTTCAATTAAAATGAACAGTACGCCTTCTTTCGACCATTTTCCAAATAAGGCCCGGTGCCCGCATATTTAGAGTTGTATTTATACAAATAACTTAGTTGACAATCCGTGGGCTGCGCCAGTCTTATTATCTTTGAGCCGTGTCGGAATCGATACGTGATTATCGATAGAAGAATCGGCATCTTGGCATCTAAATACGCCACCGGTAACAGTAAATAGAATAAAAAGGGTGTCGCAAATAATAACTAAGTATTGCTTTGAACTTCATTTTGGAAATCTGAGTAAATTTATAGCGTGTTTTCCTTTTCTTTCTTCATTTCTTTCATTTCATTTGTTTCTGCTTTCGTTTTTGCACAATTAGATCTAGTGCTTCGAAGTGTTTTGCTTTTGACTACGGTTATTCTTGGCTTGGAGGCTAATCTTCTTTTACCACCCAAGTATTGAAGTCGTCAAAACCATATCGCTTTTTTTGTTGTCATTTGTTGGAACAGGCTTTCTCATTGGAGGGAACAAAATTACTTGGCGACGTAATTTTTTTTATCAATAAAAATCTTATAGCGACCTTGATTTGGGCCCTATCGCATTCTTTCTTCATAACTATTCGGTGACATTTTTGCTTCGACGTGGCGACGCCAGATTAAAGGAGGTGCGTGCCGTAATAAGGTTTAAAGCGAATGTCGGAGTGAGCCGAATCGGTGCGCCATTCGTTCGATATTCAAAATGTAAGATTAAAGCGCTAGGCTTGCAGAGGTGCAGACTGGCTTTATTTCTTCGAAAAGAGGGGCTACCTGTTAAAAATTGTATTAAAATGATTTAATAATAAGTGCCATCAGATCGGCACTGTTCATTTGATTTTCAAAAATGAGGTACCTACCAAGTTAAAGCGATTAGCCCGTGTATGTGTAAAAAGGTTTTATATTTTCGAAAATAGATGCCACCTTTAAAAAAAAATAACTTCAAATGATTTAGTAATAATATCGGCATCAATCGAAATGGTTTTAAAAGGCTTTATTTCTTAAATTCGTTTAAGAGGGTTGCCACGTGTATAAAACAATCAAATTCAACTTGAAATAGCAATTTGGTAATTGAAGTGCATATGCATCACAACGTGGGTGTCAGACGAAAGAGATTTAAGGTTTTAGTTTCAAAATATTTTGCAGAGTGTTGCCACCTTTTTGAAAATTCGAATTTAGTTAACTTATAAACAATTAAATATTAAGATATGTTTACCAAAAGACAGTTAAGAAATCTTTAGTTTGAATACTAAAATAATTTTTGAGGTGTTTAACGAGGGTTGCCACAGTTTTAAAAGTAAAATTCAAATTATTTAAAAAGTTCAATAAATTATTACAATATGGGTATCAATCGAAATGGGTTTTAAAATGGCGCTATATCTGGAATAAATTTGAATGGGTTGCCACCTGTTTAAAAAAATTAACTCAACTAAAATTTGGGCAAATAGGTAATCGAAATAAATATATATCGCAAGTTGAGTGCCGGACGATTGAGTTTGAGGAAGGTTTTAGTTTGAAAATATTTTGCAGAGGGCTGTCACTTGCTTGAAATGTCGATTTTAGTTACCTTGTGTATACGTATGTATATGAAGTATTAAAATATTGGTGTCAAACAAAATGGTGCTGAGAAATGCTTAGTTTGAACACTAGATAAGAACATTTTTGAGGTGTTTGAAGAAGGTTGCGACCTTTTTAAAAATTTAAATTCAAATTATTTAAAAAGTTAAATGAATTATTAAAATATTTGACACCCATTTTAGAATCGGATTAGACATTTTTTATTTCTGAAATTTTTATAGGGCGGTTGCCAGATGTTTAAAAAAATCAAATTCAACTTAATTCATCAATTAACTAAAATATGTATCACATTGTTACACGAATGATATATATTATTTTACAACTTTTTTTAGTTGTACTACTCTACATTCTGTTAATTACCTTAATCGGTAATGATGCCACTGTTGTAATGCCGAAAATCCTATGTTTCATGCCAGTTAGTTCTTCCTGATAACCGCCTTAATATGCTTTCAGCTATGTTACCTGAAATTAAACATACATAGAAATAAAAAAATGTATTAACGATTTTTGTGTCAATTATTGCTTGAAGAGCATAAAACTAGCTAACATTTCCATCACACTGTTATATTCATGAGTACATCTAGCAAATATGCATAGCATAACTGCGAGTAAATTTTGAATTTCCACAGTACGCTGCTATTAACTCCAATATAGTAAAACAGCAGCATTTGATGAAATTTGTGCAGAAAAAAAAAACCAAAGAATCAGAAATCACAAATGTTTATACCACATTTTCCTTTCCTATCTGCCAGCAGCCAGCACTTGATACTCCAATGGGAATTGGGTACATTTCGTTAAATTAAAAAAGACAGAAATGCACTCGTAAATGCACTGATAAAGTGTGCATACATACATATGTATGTATGTATGTAAAGGTAAGGTAGTGAGTGAAAGACAGGCCGCCTAAAAGTAGGTCGCGCATTTATTTATGCAATTGCACTCAAAATGTTGACATTACAGCAAAGATGGCTGTTTTTCGTTTCTTGTTGTAGTCCTTTCATACCGTTGTTATACATAGGTACATATGTATGTGTGTAGGTACTTTCAATTGCAATCTCTGACTGTATTGCCATTTTTTGCATTTTACATTTCACATTTTTTGCATTTTACATTAAGCTGTAAGCAAAATTTGACGTTTACCATACAAAAATGCACACACGTACACATACTCGTAAATGGGAAAATTGAAATTTTATGTTGCCTACAAGTAGGCCTCATAACAGCCATATGATGCACAACGACATGTACATATACTTAATATTGCACAGCAAGTAATGCAGCGCTAAGGAAAAGCAGTTAGTTGTTTGTGGCACACTGAAGTGCCATTGCGAAGAGATATGCGCCTACATATATGTATGTATATGTAAGTACATATGTGTATGCAGGAAGAACTCTTCATGCAACTTACAATGTATTCCAGCAGGTAACTACACACGAAAATACCGACTTTTATGCACCTAAAATGCTGTGCCATATGTAAGTGTAGTGCAAACAGTCAGCCCAGCCCGCAAGCGTGCCAGCCGTAGTGAGCTGCAGAATGCCATCGCAGTCATAACTGATGAACTGATGTGCCCGGAATGCCCGTTTGCTGAATGCTGTTGTAAGCGAATTAACAAACAAAATTTTCAATTTAAAATGGATTTACGCGAGCAGAGAACAAAACGAAGAAGAAGTGCAGCAGAAAACTAAGAAAGAAACATTGAAAGTTGTGGAATTTCGTAGGAAAAGCTTGCGCCATTTGTGTCGTTTCGTCAGATTGGCTGAGTAGTCTGGAGAGGAAGGTATTTACAAAGTTTCTTGTCAGCCCATCTTTGTGTTGTTTGAAAGAACTACAACTACAGCTTTCAGCTCAGGTATATTTGCACAAGATTTCGAGTAGATTTAGTTTACTACAAATATATATAGTTTTGAGTAGAGTATGCAATAAATATTATTGAGCTTGTCTTAAGCAGGATTAAAGAAACACATAAATAAAGCACAGAGTCAGCAATAGCATGTACATATGTACGTAGTAAACGAAGAAAAAGTAAAGGCACGCCTATTGCTGTTTTGTAAGGCTAAGCGCTTTTTAATTCCCATTTATTGAAGTCGATATAATATTGTATCGTCGTAAGCTGATTACTTCAAAAACAATAATCATGAATAAAAGTAATGTCTAGTTTTTAAATAAACATAAATTTTGTTATACTTTTAAGTAACACAAATTAATGTCTAGTTTTTTGAATAATACATTCTTATTTTCATTTTCTGAATTACCCAAAATTATGTCCAGTTTTTAAAATATCTAAATGCATATCTATTCAAACGAACAAAATATATATGTCCACTTTTTAAATGAATATATGTAGCTACATTTTTAAATTACTAAAAATGTCAATTTTTTTAAATGACCAAAAATTTATGTCCAGTTTTTAAACGGCTAACAATTTATGTCCAGTTTTTAAATTACCAAAAATGTCCACTTTTTGGGTGGCCAAAAATTTATGTGCAGTTTTTAAACGTCCAAAAATGTCCACTTTTTAAAAGACCCAAAAAATGTGTATCCAGTTTTTATGCTTCCAAAAATGTCCACTTTCTAAATGACCAATAAGTTATGTCCAATTTTTAAATGCCCAAAATGTATGTTCAGTTTTTAAATCACCAAAAATTTATATCCAGCTTTTTATGCCCAGTTCTCAAAGGATAAAAAATTTGTATCCGCTTTTTGAATTACTAAACATTTTTGTTCAAATTTTGTTGTTGCCAAAAGCTTATGTCTAATTTTTTTTTAGATCCCAAAAAAAGCACAGTTTGTAAATGACCAAAATGTATCTACAATTTTTAAATTTCCAATATCTGTGCCCAGGTGTTTTAAATGACAAAAAAATTTTGGACCGTTTTCAAATTAGCAGAAGTGCTTGTATAGTTTTAAGTTAAAAAAGTAATAATAGCAATTGTGTCAAGTTTTTTAATCACCAAAACGTGAAACAAATTACACACAGATTTTAAATGTCCAACTATTTATGTCCGCTTTTTATATTACCAGCAATTTTTGCCATGCTTTAAAATGCCAAAAAATTACTTATGCTGGATTTCCACTAGGCATTAAATGGCAAAAATATAATCGTGTCATTACATTAAAAAAATCTGCATTAAGTTCATTTCCATATGGCATTTTTTTTAAATGGCATATATTTTTTGTCATTTCAATGCCTAGTGGAATTTCGGCAGTACACTTTTTAAATGGCCAAAAATATATGCCCAATTTTTATGTGAAGAAAAATGCTACTAACATATAAATAAGTACCTTGGCAAAAAACTTACGTTCACTGTTTAAATGCCCAAACATGTACGCCCGCTTTTTAAAAGTCCAAAAAATTTGCCTACAGGCTTTAAATGGCCAAAAATTTATGTCCAGTTTTTTATGACCAAAAGTTTATGTCCAGTTTTTTATGACCAAACATATATGCCCAACTTTTAATTAAAAAAAAAAAATATATCCAAATTTAAGATTAGCAAAAATGTACGTTCGACTTTTAAACACCAAAAAATTTATGTTGTTTCCAATCAAGAAGAAAAATTATATTTATGCTACTGGCATAATGTAAACGGACGGGGCATTCGTTTTCAAATGACCTAACTTTATTTTCAGCTTCAAAATGACAAAAAAATTTACTTTCAGTTTTTTTTTTTTGACCAAAACTATATGTACGTCCTACTTTTAAAATTGTACATATGTACATGTGAAAAATAATAGGATTACGACATTTTGACAAGTTTCGGCTATTTTTATTTTGTTTGTTTAATGCTTATTAATTTTTTTTTTTATAAAAATACACCTCACTATCTAACAAAAACCATTTAAAACTAAATTTCACACTTTGTCGAAAAATGTACCAAAACAAAAACAACAACAACAAACGTTTTACTAAGAATTTGTGAATAAAATGTATGGATGCAGTTTTATAGCCCATTTAATTCTTAAGAAAGTGCATTTTTCAAGTGCCTAAGAATTCGCGTTGATTTTTGGTAATTTTTATTGGACATTTTTCCATACCAACAAAAATGGTCGAACCGACTTTGTATGGAAAAAAATGCGTGTCAGGAATTATCAAAAATCAATGCGATTTCTTAGCCACTTGAAACTTGCACTTTCTTTAGAATTAAATGGGCTATAAAACTGCCCAACTGTTGAAAATTTTACTTATAGGGTTTTTGTTGGATAATGAACTGTGTTTTTATAAGGAAATAATAAACATTAGACAAACAAAAGAAGGAGTAGGAATGTTATACAAGCGCTACGACAAGCCAAGCAACTGAAAATCAAAAAGCTCAACTATTTAGAAGAAATTCAGAGAGATGTAAGTCCAAGCGACATATTTAATAAGACAATAGCGCAAAATAGGCTTATAGTAGCACTGCACATTAGTGGGGTCCGCACAAAATTAAAATTGCAAAATTATAAAAAAAAATGTTAGGGGTCGCTACCAGGGTTTGAAAATTTTTATTTATTTTTTTTATTGGAAGAATTCTACAAAATTTTGTCTTTGAACCGCTTTAACTCAGAAAGTTTATAAATTTATATGAATAGTTTTCAATAACATGTCAAATTTATCAGATTTCAAGGCAAAATGCTGTCGAATTATTGCGATAAAAAAATTTAAATTTTACAAAAAAAAATAAAAATTAAATTTTCCTAAAGATTACCAAACTTTAGAATGCGAACTCGGTTCTGTCTCCTATAAATATGGCCAAAAAATTCTATTCAAGGGTGCAACGTATTGCCGAAATTGTCTCTACCAGTGTGTCACTCATACGCACTGTCGCACAACTATGTATGTTCTCTGTTCTCCTACAGCTTTTTGGCTATACGTATAGTCTTCTATATTTCTGCTGCCACGTACTATAATACATATATACATATAACATTTGCGCTTTTATGTAACTATTTTGTTTTTTAAACTTTGTCAGCTACAACGAAATACACTCAGCTGAATATGATGAGTTTATGAATTTTTAATATTAATAAACGTGTATGTGTTTTGTGTTTAGTGTTGAAGTGTTATAACGCCATGCCTATTTACAAAATATATTCGAAAAAAAGTTTAATTACAAAAAAAAAAGTCAAACTCGTATATTGCTTGAATTCAGACAATGCGAAGTCAAGGAGGGGGCATATTCATACCCGAAATAAATTTGATTCTAAATTCAATTGCATTTTTTTTTAAGATATTCCATTGAAAAGGATGCCAAAAAGCTACAACTAACTTTAGAATGCACTCTGTTTTGACTATGAACATGCCGATAAAATTATTGACAGAATTTAAACGTTCGTTCTTCGAGTAGATGCTAGCTACATATCTACTCAAGTCATGCGAATAGCAGTCTCAAGTCGGTTAAATGTTCTGAGACGCCTCCTCCAATTGCTTCTCATATTCTTTTCTCGAGCACATATCATCTAATGGAATACTGTTATCTGCCGG